TCCTGTCCCTACCCAACTCAATCCTTGGCACGGCAAATAACTATCGACGCTTTAAAAAAATAAAACGCTGGCTGTGTCAGAGCACGCACCGGCCACGCAGCCCAGTACTGCGGGTTTGCCTACGCTAGTTGGGCCACACGGAGTAGGATACGGAGCGAATAGGAACACCTGCAGCTCTGGGGCGCGTACTCTGATGGCCCTGATCGAGCCGGTAGTACAGGCTAGCTGATAAAACTACTCATCACCCGCTAAAAACGGCAACCTTTTCCCATCACACTTCGTGTCGGTTGTACGGCCAGTGGGCCGTTCGCCCCCGTCTCAGCACGGGCGCGGTTTTAAGTTGTTTGCCTACCTTAGGGGTTTGCAGGTCAAATTGCCCCCCGATCAGGCGGCTTCCTAAGAGCTGGCTAGGGGGGACCGACCGCGCCTGTCTAACGTAAGCACCTGAAGATATCACCACAACACCCTGCCTGTACACGAGAGGTGTTTGAACTTTTCGGTAAGCACGAACCCCGGCCGTGCTGCCATCCAGGAGACAATAGCATCGGCGTGTGATTCAGTGTCGTCGGCCCTCGGCCCCACCGACCGTCGTCCTCGACCCCCCTGTAAGGCTCCGAAATCTATCACCGATTGTCACTAACGACCCGAGACAGGGCCGGGCCGGCGGACCGCAGTGCAGCCCGGGCGGCCGGCTGGAAGGACGCTTATGACGCCGCCGTTAACATGTCGCATCCGAAGGCATTACTCCTCCTTACTAATAACATTCGACTGTGCAGTGCGGGCCAGACCCGACCCGAGGGTCACGCCCTACCCGGCCCGACCCGCATCATGCGCCGCTATGGCAATCTGCTTCACTACATATACCGTGCACGTCTTGGAAGCTATAGCAGTGCAACAGTTATTGTTTTCGATTGCGTGCTACTACTGTTTTCTTTTTCTCACGATACGTTATTGAAGCTTATCGCGTATAGTGGTGGCTGGCTGTGATATTTTCCCCCCGACACAGCAAAAATGAGAGTATTTACTCATTTCTCAGGTCGTATTTTTATTCTTTTCTCTCCCAGGAGTGAAGGTATGACGCGCGCTGCCACCTACGGAACACATGATCTCTCCAGCAGGCGAGCCACACTTGATGATACGGACACACACACACACCACTACTACTACTACTATTACTACAGCTACAACAACTACTCTCACACAACTCACACACTCACACACACACAAGGTTTGTTTCCAAGCGCCCGGGATCCTTGTCATTATCGCGCGCTGCGTCCGAAAAGACGGGAAGGAGAAAGAGAGGTGTATAAATAAAAAGTAAACTAAGACCAACGTCGTGTGTCGTGTGGCAAACGCACTCCGGACGCAGCCCTTTCCTTTCCTCTCCTTCCGAGACGGCGGTGATTTTCAAGGCGAGACGCGACCGACATTTCGGACGCACGCGACGACCGACCCGGCTGGACGGGCACGACAAAAATTACAGCCTCCATACTACCTTCACTGCGAGCGCCCCCCACCCACCGCGCACCCGCCTCGCCCCTCACAAGGATGTTGGACTACCCGCGTCACCACGACCGATTAGAAACATGCATGACGAACAACGTCTCTCCAAAACGTCCACGGTAAAAACAATGCCTTATTTATCAGAGGGAAAGGGGAAAACTTTGAGGAACTCCCATGGGGAAACTCCTCAGATTTTGAGGAGAAAGAATGAGGGAAATTCTCGCACTTTTTGAAAGGCCTTCCTTAACGTCTGAGGAGTTTTTCACAAACTATGGGAGTTCCTTAAAGTTTTCCCATCTCCCCCAAATAATCAGATATTGTCTCTACCGTGCCGGTGGGACACGAGAAACGAAACACAAATAACTTTCGACAAAATCAAACAAAAGCCTCGATACAAATTCCAACGCGCCCGCATCAATGGCCGTCCGCGTCCTAAATAACTTTCAGAAGGAAAGAATCGTTGATAATGATTCCGGGCAGTGTAATTGATATGCAAATGGCTGATCGGCGGGCGGGTCGGGCGCGCAGGCGCAGCAGCGATGGTCACGCGACAGCGCGGCGCTCGGAGCCACTGGACAACAGCTCCGCGCGCTCCGCGACCAGCCCAAGGTCACTCCCATCATTGTGTGCCAGCCGGCGGGTCCCGTCCCGTCTCGCCGGGCGGAGCTCTCTGAGTGAGCCGGCCCCCCGGCCCCTCGGCAGGCCCGGCCGGCGGGTGACAGACGGGAAAACAACCAACGTCATTATTGTATTATCATAATCATGATATTAATAATCATGCTCCTGCTGCAGGCTGTGCACCTTGACGGCCGCCTGCCTGCCCCCGCGGCCCCCGCGGGTTAGCTCGTCGTGGACGTCGCCGCTCATCGTGTCCTCCCCCGCGCAGCCGTGACTCACCGGGTAGCAGCAGCGCCCCCGTCCCGTCCCCTGACTTTGTGTGACCGGCTCTGCCCGCCATTCTGACCCACCCGAATCAGAGCGCTGCCGCCTCCGCAGCCTCCGCTCCGCGCCTCCCGCCCGGCGGGCTAAGTGACGATTAATCACACACTCGCACCCCCTTGGCAGCCATTTAGAAAATCCAGCGGCGGCGGCGGCGGCGAGCGCGCGCCCACCTCCAGCGGGAGAAGGCGGGGGGGAATTGCCATTGAAATGTTGCGACCGATCAAGAGAGAAATACACTGACATACATTCCCATAAGTCACACTTCAGTTTCCTGGAGCTGCTATACGCCGGCTGTTCCCTAGTTGGCGATCGTGTTCAACTCTTGCCCTCAGTTCGCCCACAGTACCAATTTCATTCGATAGAGGGGAAAAACAAATCAAGACCACAAATTCAAAAGAAAAGAAGAAAGAATTAAAAACTTGACAAATTTTCAATTTCTTTCCCTTCAGATCTCTTTCGAAAAAATACGTAATTCAAAGACGTTCTCGGGTTTTGTTTTAAACGTGTTTAACCGACGCGGGCACCGGTCACCGGAAGCGCAAGGTGCGTCACTACGTCACCCGGCCACTTGAAAATGCAAGCGCGGCCCGACCTGCCCCCCCAGTAGTGGTGGTTATCGCCGGCGCATCCGAACTGCTGCCGAGGGGTCCGCAAGTACGGTCTGCCGGTGTACACATGTGGTGGGCTTCCTAGTTTTCCTAGGTTTTCCTAAGGTTTTCCCGGTCTTCCCAACTTTTGCTTGGTTTTCCCAATCTTGGTTTTCTGAGATTTTCTAAAGGCTTCCTCCAGTTTTCTGAGGTTTTCTCGCATTTTCATGGGTCTTCCCTTTACATTTTCTGGTCTTCCTTGCAATTTCTAGGTCTTTCCCAAAGTTTTTCCGGTCTTCCCTTATATTTTTCTGTTTTCCGTCACATTTGTGGCCTACGACTTTATTGGTCTTCTTTGGTCTTCCTGGTGGTCTTCCCGGTCTTCCCAGTTTTCCGGGCGGCCCGTGTACGCGCTCGAACCTAGTTGCGGACCCCTCGACTGCTGCTAAGGCCGAGAGGGGACACACCGGGGAGGACTTCCCTGAGCGAGAGACCGCTGCCGAGCCGGGCGCTATCGGGACGCAGCCCCGGTGCAGTACCTGTTCTCAAGGAAGCGGGCTGCGGGGGGCACGCGGGGCCCGCACACACGCACGCAGTGCAAACCGGCTCGGGGGCGTGGCGAGGCAGCAGTGGACGCGTGGGGCCCGGTGGGGCAGGCGGCAGGCACTTCCCTCACGCGACGTGCGACAACGCCACGCACTTCCACACTCCACACGACGGCACAAGACGGCGCCAATCATTTTCCCGGCGCGCCGCGCCGCGCTTTTCTTCTCGCACGTCCCAGGGCTGCCAACTTCCTGGCTGCGTCCTGCGACTCCAGCTCCTCCTCTCCCACGGGGTCGGTCCCTCCCTGTACCTCGCGCAGGTGTGACACGTTCCTATACTACCCGGCGCGACGTGCGATTATGGATGTAAATAAAAAATTGAAATTCTTGAGAGCGCGGAAGCGGCAAAAAGACCCAGGGAAAAAAACAAACCGGAGTGTGACAACGGTTTTACGGGTAGTAGGTCGGCAGTGTACCTACTGGTGCGAGATCGCAAGAGCGATACCAAGGCAAACAAGGCCCCGTTGCTGCCATGACGTTAGGTCCGCCCGGTCGGGCCGTACATTTTAACGCCCGCTCCGCTCCAATGCCGCGCGCGCTGAGCTGCGCCGCCACCTCGCCGGGGCATTTTCCGAACCGCTACACTGCCAAAGCGCCTCGAGTCTCGTCGCGGACACCAAACGCCCGCCCTGCGCGTCAAACTAAACACCCGTAAACCTAGAAGCCATACGGGGACGGGGGACAAAACAAAATCATGATGTCCACACACGGAGAAAAAGAAAACATGCAGGGGAGGTGAGGGGTGAGGGAGAAAAGCAAAGACGTAAACGGCAGAAAAACCAAGGCAAGTCAGTCAGTGAGGAATATGATTCAGCGTAGCCTCGAGGCAGGCTCCCGGCGGGTGCGGCGCGATGAGGTGACTCACGGCCCGCGCGACACGGGCTGCCAGTAGTGCCGCAGCGCAGCGGCCGTGAGGCATCAAAACACGCCAAATGAATGGCGAGGCGGCACCGCGGCGGCGTTTGCCTGGCACCGCGGGGTGGGGCCGCTGCAATTACCAAGGTGGGGGGTGTAAATTATATCATTTCGATAGGGAAGGGTCCTTATGCCACGCCGCGGCAGAGGCTCCGCGTCGATCTCTTCCCCGCGGCGGCAGCCCAGGGCTCGGCGCCGTGCCAGCCGCTTTATGACCCAAAAGATACTCCGTTGGATTACAATCCGGGCGCCCGTTCTGACGCAAGAGGAGAAACGGAACGTTTCTGCGACAAACTGGAGGCGCCGTGCGGCAAAAGCAGTACTGTGTCCCGCCCCAGTGCCGGCCACGCCGGCTGGCCGGACCGGCCGTTTCCGCATTGTGTTAAGTGCTGCTACCTACAAGACACACTCAAGCCCACTACGCACTGTCACACACACTCGCACTCACCATCTCCTTCCTCAGTAAGGCCAGCTGGGCGTCCAGGTTGTTGGCGCGCCCGGGCCCCGCCTGGCGCGCGGCGCGCGGCGGGGGCGGCGGCGGCACCGACATGCACTGCAGGGGCGACCCGTTCCTGGAGCCGGACGGCCCCGAGGGGGGCGTGGTGCCCCTGGGCGGCGTCGGCCTCGAGCTCAGGCTGCCGCTCGAGTGGTGGCGGAAGCTGCCCGAGTGGCTGAGCCCGGATCCAGAGCCGGAGCCGGGCGACGGCGCCCCGGAGCCGCCCCCGCCACTGGGTGCGGGCGCCGGGGGCGGCGGCATGCCCGTGACGGCCGCCATCTCGGCGGGGGTGAAGAGCAGCCCGCTGCTCTCCAGGAGGTTGGCCCCGCTCAAGGACTTGGGCAGCGGGGGCAGGCCCTGCAGGGAGGCCATGACGAGGCGCTTGAGGGAGGCGTTGGCGTTCCTGCAATCAGACCCCAGGGGGCCGCAGGGGTGAGCGGCGGGGGAGCCGACGGGCGAGCCAGCGGGGGACACCGCGGGCGACCCCACAACCACCGTCACACCGTTGCAAGCGCCATGGCCGGCGGGCGGGACGGCGGGCAGGCCACCGGGCGGTGCGGGGTCCTCGATGGTGATCTGACAGCTGGAGTAGCGGACTTCCTTGCCGTCGCCCTCCACCTCGAACCAGTCTGACTGGAGGATGCGGGAGCGGCGCCTCAGTTGCACACCCAGGTCGCCGGCTCCCTGCGAGCCTCGCGAGCTCAGCGAGCCGCCAGAGTCGCCGTCGGACGCCTTGCCGGAGTCCAGCGAGCTGAGCTCCGCGTTGGTGTCGATGACTAGCACGGTGGGGCTGGGCGAGCCCTTTGAGTCTCTAGAGGAGCTCCTGAGCGAGCCCTTGGGGCTGGGGGCGGGGCTGGGCCGGCGCACAGGGCTCAACACGAGCGGCTTGGACGGCGAGCGCAGTCGCCCTCCGCCGTCTGCCTCGCGGGAGGCCTTGCCCACGGGGATCACAGGGGCGACAGGAGCGACGGCTTTCACGGCCCTCACGGCTTTCACGGCCTGCTCCAGGGCCCAGGGTGGAAGCGCCGGTGCCGGGGTGTCCTTGAGGCGCCTGGTCCTCCCCGTCGACCGGGAGCGACCAATGCCGGCTCCAGGAGCGGCGCCATTGAGGGCGGCGACGGGTGGTTGGTCGGGCAGCGGGGGTGGGCGCCCCCGCGGGTGGGTTAGCGCGGGCGGTTGGGAGAGACCGGGCGGCTGGGACGGGGGTGGCGGCGCGCGCCGGGTGGGCGTCACGGCCTGCACGGGCACCACCACCACGTTGGGCTCCAGCCGGAGCTCGGGCCTGTGTTCCGCCCGCTGTTGCCCCCGGTTCTCAGCGCGGTGCTCTCCCCGGTGCTCGGCGCGGGGGTCAGCGCGCCGCGTCCTGGCCAGCGCCTCGGCCACCACAGACTTGCTGGGGCGGGGTGGCACGGGCGGCGGCGGCAACGGCCTCTGGTGGTTGGGGTTGCCCCGGGCCGCCTCCGTGCCGGCGGCACCCTGGCGGAGCACGCCGGCGCCGGTGGCCGCGGCGGCCGCAGTCAGCGACGGCGTGGACGACGTCATCCTCAACATGCTGGCACCCCATGCTCACAGCTCACGCCGGGTCACCAGGACGCCGACGGCGCGCGCACACACACTCGCGGCGGGGCCGGCGCTCGGCCATCTCAAGCACAAGCACGACGTGTCGACGGCGGCGGCGGGTCGCGGGGCGGCGGGGGCCTCGGGGCGCGACACACGGGGGCTCGGTGCGCTGAGCTCGCTGCCCGACGGCGGACTGCGGTGCGGAGGCGAGGCACGGCCCGGCGCTGCGCTCGCCCGCCTGCCTGCCTGGCGGCCCGACTGACTGCCTGCCGGCCTGCCTTTTGGCTGGCCGCCTCGGCAGCAGCAAACCGCGGAGAGACGCGGGCACTGCTGCGACGGCCATCGGGCCACGGAGAGGGAGAAGGGGGAGATGTACAGGTCGAGTGCCAAGCCGCGCCGTGCCAGCCCGGGCCGGGGGCCGGGCAGCCACACGGTGCAGAGGGTGTTAGCCCAGAGCTGTTGTGCTACGTAACGTCGCCTCCCCTTAAGTGCTTAGAGGCGCCTCAGCAGTGCCCGGCGCCCCGCCCCCGCCCCTGTCACCGTGTCGCTAGTCCGTCACCATCCGCTGCTGGAGCGCACCGCCCAAACCGCGTGAGAAACGCGACAACATGAGAGAAGGGCGACAATGTCTCCACGCTGCCCTGGACAGGCACGAGGTGGGAAAGCGCTCATCAGGGACAACCTGCGGATATTTCACAGCCAGCATCCGCGCGTCGCGTCGTCGCAGACAGGTGGACCTTGTGGAGGTGGAGCAATGACGGATGCACACCACCCTCGGCGCCCGCCCTGAGGCTAAGGCCGCAGGCACTATCGCGGTAAGGCTAAGGCTCTTGGGCGCCTTCTCCAAAGTCAGGCCCATTGGTTGCAGTAGGCTCTCGGCTCGCACCAGGTCCCTGCTGAATGCTAAGGCGCCAGCTACGTACGGCTGCTCGGCGGTTACAAGACGCCTGCCCACGTTTTCGACTTGAACTCAGGCGCCTGGACGATGCGAAGCCAGCGCGGAGCGGTAAGCCACCTGCCCACCTGCCCTTAGGCCTCTGGACGAGGTGGGCCCCAAGAGCGCCGCTGGACGATACGGCGCCAGGCCGCCGGCAGCACCGCAGGCCGCAGGGCCCCCCGAGGGCCCGCCGCCTCACAGTGTAATGCGGTCATAACGACGTCCAACAGGACAGGGGGCGCTCACACGGCCGTTTAAGCGCCGCGCCACGCCGGGCCGGTCGGGCCGCGCTGTAAGGGGCTTGTTAGGAGCGGCCCTCGCCATGGCCCTCGCCTCGCGCCTCTCACCGACTGACACGTACCGACTGACTGACGGGCTGACTTCTTGACCGGGGCGACTGACCGCGGGCGTGCGGGGGACACAAAGCCAGCAGTGTACAAGCGCGGCGCCCGGCATCAAGAGGAGAAAATATTTCGAGAGCAAAATTGTCTTTACTCACGGGCAGGACAAAGGGAGGGCGGACTTGACTTTTACCTCGGGGCGTGGCGTCGCGTGGCGGGGAGGGGCAGGGCGGGGCACGCGGACGTGTCGCGAGGCAGAGGTGAACAGTCGTTTAATTTTGGACGGGATCGCAGTGACTTCTAAATGCAGCCTATAGGCGCTCTTGCGTAGGGCAGAAGGGGGTGGGCG